GACTGGCCCAGAAATCTTCCTTCCACCCTTTCCCCCAAAATCTAATTACAGATGTCTTGACATTCCTTCTGCATAGAGTTTCCTTACAAGATTTGCCAAGAAGAAACATTTGGAAACTGTGTTTTAGGTATAATCCCGTCTGGGAGTCACTGTTGCTTGCTTGCTAGATGACAAAACGCTTAATTACAACAAGCGCAATGTATACCACATTTGGAGAACTGGATTCTTGACTCACATAATATACCCCATACTGACAATGGCCTTTTGGCAAAACTCGCGTCTCTGATCTCATGTTAATTACTACACAAATATACTTATTGTGGGTACCGAGTTTATGGGACAGAGTCCTCTTGACACATGTTCACAATAAAATCACATTTTTTTTCCCCTTCCCCTGACCCTAAGGAAAAAAAAAGAAAAGATTAACATTTTTCAAGATGCTGTTTTAATGGCAGGCAAACTGTCTGCTGAGTGTTCACTCCGCTTTTGTTCTTTTTTTTTTTTTCCTCCTTTTATTAAAAAAGCCTTTTAAACCAAGCATTCCTGGTTTGTAATTCCTTTCTTTACTTTTGCTTTTATGCCGAGGGAGGGACAGATTAGATTAGATTAAAGAGCGAGGGACACCTTGTGAAATACATTCCATCTAGAAGCAGTTTCGTTGATAGGGTCAAGGTGTGTGTGTGTGTGTGTATGTCTCCTCTTGTGGCTTACTGGTGGGTTTTGTACAAATATAGGGTTCTGGTTTCTAGGAATGCATTTGTTCCTGCAGCCTTTCCCCCTGCAGAAATCTGCAGCCTTTGTGGCCTGACTTTTAGGGGTTTGTGGCAATTTTGGGGAGTAGTAAATCTTATTAACTCTTCCCTTTAGCTTCTCACAGTTCTCCAAACTTTTTCAAAAGGCAGCCACATTTCTCTCCCCCATGGCAGATGAAAGGGACCATTTCAAAGCCCTTCTTCCCCTCTGCCCACCAGGCCCCCCGGGTTACTCTGATGATGTCACAGCGGTAACCAAGGCAACACGCCGTGACATCACGACCCAAAGAGTACTGACCTTGGCCTGGAATTCAAAGGAAAAGCAGCTCGTAAACTTCTAAAGCGAGCAGGAGATAAATATCCTTAGTCATAAAAGAACAAACGAAGTTCTGGGTGGGGGCAGGGGCTGGGGGAAAAAAAAAGCAGAACTTCTTTTTTTCTTTCTTTCTTTTTTGTTTTTTTTAGAAATACAGTAAAATGCATTGCCAAGTTTTTCAGGAAGTGCCAGTGGCCATCTTGATGATGTGAACTAGACTTTAAAACCGAAAGAGGAAAAATGAATGTAGTGAATGAACAAGGGTCACTTACAATATTAAATATAACCAGGTGAAGCTCTTCTTTCCCTAAAGCATCATCTGTAAAATGGGGGTAGGGGATGCATCCGAGCAGAGGAAAACAACAAACAAATTCATGCCAGGGGAAAGCGGGAACTCTAGGGATTGTGTTTATCAAAAAGGGAAAGTGCTCCATGCAACATGGTACCTAGGATGGGGTCCTGGAACAGAAAAATGGGTGAAGTCTGAATAAAGTCTGCAGTTTAGTCAAGAGGACTGTACCAGTGTCGAGTTTTGGTTTTGACTCATGTACCGCCATGGTAACGCAAAGCGATAGCATCTGCAGGAACTAGATAAAAGGGATGCAGGGACACTCTGCTGCCTTTGCACTTTTCTGTTCATTTGTTTCGAAATAAAATATTTATTTATCAAAAAGGGGAAAGTGAGCCATTGTCTTCTTTTTTTTTTTTTTTTTTTTGAGACAGAGTCTCGCTTTGTTGCCCAGGCTAGAGTGAGTGCCATGGCGTCAGCCTAGCTCACAGCAACCTCAAACTCCTGGACTCAAGCAATCCTACTTCCTCAGCCTCCCGAGTAGCTGGGACTACAGGCATGCGCCACCATGCCTGGCTAATTTTTCTATATGTATTAGTTGGTTAATTAATTTTTTTCTATTTATAGTAGAGACGGGGTCTCGCTCTTGCTCAGGCTGGTTTCGAACTCCCGACCTCGAGCAATCCGCCCGCCTCGGCCTCCCAGAGAGCTAGGATTACAGGCGTGAGCCACCGCGCCCGGCCTAGGAGAAGATTTTAAAAGGAGGCTTGAGTAAGAGGACAGAGATCTGGGAGCCCAGGTGTGCATTTCTCAGAGTCATCATGGCGGGTGGCCTGGTTTCCTGAGCGTGTGCTTTAGTGTGCAGAGGTGTCCTGTGTAAATCAAAGCCTTTGTTCCCCACAGTATCCTTGAGGGGTGACTCAGCTGCAGCAGGCTGCGGAGTGGGGTGAACAGTCAAATCATCTGCAAATGACAGACAGCCTGTCCCTGGCTCAAGCAGAGGCAAGGCGAAGGCAAAAAGTAACAACAGCAGCAATTACCATTCCCTGCTGCTCCCTGGACCAAGCCACCATCCTCCCCAACCTGGATAGTTCAGGGCCTGACTCTTCTCTCTGTCCCCACCTGCACCCATTCTCCATCAGCATCTGTTTCGCTTTTTTTTTCCCCCTCCCCAAATCTACTCTATTGAGGTATAATTTGCACAAAATAAAATGCACCCATTTCAAGCACACGGTTCAATAAATCTTGATAAATGTATGCATCTGTGTAACCACCAACACAATCAGATACAGAACTTTCTTCTTCTGCCCCTAAAATTCCTTCCTGCCCCTTCTCCACCACCTGCACTGCCCCCCACACCCCTCCATTCACCCCGGCCCAAGCCACCGTGGATCTGCTTTCTGTCACTGTAGATGAGCCGGGTCATTTCTAGAGTTTTACATAAATGGAATCACCCAATATAAACTCCTTTCTATCAGGCTTCTTTTACTCAGCATCGTGGTTTTGAGCCCAGCACCCACATTGCTGCATGGATCAATGGTTCATTTCTTTTCATTGGTGAATAGCATTCCCTTATATGAAAGTGCTACAATTTCTCATCCACCTGTTGAGGGACATTTGGGCTATTTCCGGTTTTTGCCTCTCATGAGTAATGCTGATATGAACATTCAAGTGTAAGTGTTTTTTTGCGGACATATGATTTTTTAAAAATTTTAAAGTATTATGGGGGTACACATGTTTTTGGCTACAAGGATTGCTTTTGTAATGCTTGAGTCAGGGTTGTAAGAGTGTCTGTCACCCAGATAGTGTTCATGGAACCCGTTAGGTAGGTTTTTGCCCATGCCCTCATTGCCCCTCCCCCCGATTGATTTCCACTGAGTTTGACTTCCCTCTGTGCACATGTGTGCTCATCAGTTCGTTCCAATTTAATAGTGAGTATGTGTGGTATTCGTTTTTCCATTTAGATACTTCACTTAGGATATTGGTCTTCACTTCCATCCAGATTGTTGCAAAAGGCATTAAGTCATCTTTCTTCATGGCTGAGTAGTACTCCATGATATACGTATACCACATATTGTTAATCCACTCATGAATTGATGGGCATTTGGGTTGATTCCACATCTTTGCAATTGTGAGTTATGCTGCAATAAACATTCAACTTCAGGTGTGTTTTTGATAAAATTACTTCTTTTCCTTTGGGTAAATACACAATAGTGGGATATGATTTTTTTTCTTGAGTAGATATCAAAGAGTGGAATGGCTGAGATGTATGGTAAGCATATGTTTAACTTTATAACCCAATGCAAACAATTTAAGATACAATTGAATGTAAGAGCTAAAATGATATAACTTCTAGAAGAAAACACACTAGGGGCCAGGTGCAGCGGCTCATGTCTATAATCCTAGGACTCTGGGATGCTGAGGCAGGAGGATTGTTTGAGCTCAAGAGTTTGAGAATAGCCTAAGCAAGACCGAGACCCTATCTCTACTAAAAATAAAGAAAATTAGCCGGGCATGGTGGTGCATGCTGTAGTTCCAGCTACTTGGGAGGCTGAGGCAGAAGGATTGCTTGAGCCCAAGAGTTTGTGGTTGCTGTGAGCTAGGCTGATGCCATGGCACTGTAGCCTGGGTGACAGAGTGAGACTCTATCTCAAAAAAAAAAAAAAAAAAAAAAAAAGAAGAAAACACACTAGGAAATCTTTTTGACCTTGGGCTATAGGTAATTTCTTAGGACAAAAAAAGCATAAGCCTCAAAACAAAAATAAATGGCCTTATAAAGATTTAAAACTTCTGTTCTTTGGAAAACCCTGTTAAGAAAATGAAAAGGCAAGTCACAATCTGGGAGAAACTGTTTGTGAATCATTCATGTGACAGAGGCTACATATCCAGAGTATTAAAAGAACTTCTATAACTCACTCATCAGAAGGCAAACAACCCAATTAAAAAATAGACAAACGGACTTTTAACAGATACTTCACAGAAGAAGATCTGTGAATAGTCAAAAAAGCACATAAAACAGTACTCAACTTTGTTAGTCATCAGGAAAACAAAAATTAAAACCATAACGAGATACCACCACACACACACACACACACACATACACACACACGGCAGTGGCTAAAATTATACAAAAAGGTTGATTATTCCAAGTGTTGGCAGAGCTGGGGGGCAACTGCTGGTGGGAACGCAAAACCAGGCAGCCGCTTTGGAAGACTTGCTCAGTTTCTTAAAACAGTTTGCTTTTGTGAAAAAAAAGAAAAAGAAAACAGTTCTTAAAATGCTCCAGTGGCCTCTGATAGCATTGAAACGAAACCCAAATGCTGCTCTGTGCCCTCTGTGATCTGGGTCCTGCTGTCTCGTGCTCTAGTGCGTGTCCCCGTAGAGACTTAGAGACACCGAACCTCATTCTGACCTTCACGCAGAGTGAGTTCTTTTGCTCTTCCACCCACCTGGGGCTCTTCCCTGCGGTGTTCTCTGTGACCAAGTCTGTCCTCAGATGCCCTCTCCTTAAAAAGACCTTTGCTGACCACCATGCCAGAAGGTGTCCCCTATGATGTCCTCCTGTCCCTTCACCCTCTTTTACTCCTAAAAATCTCCTGTGAATTCACTTAGCGTCTGCCTTTCCTTTCCCCTCTCTCCCAAGGACAAAGGAAGCTCCCGGATGGCAGGGACATTGCTTCTCTGCTCAGCGCCGTTCCCGGCCCCCAGCAGGACCTTCATGAATGTTCATCAGCGTTGAACCCGTGAGTGTCTCTCATAGGGATGAGGAAGACGCAGGTGGCTCATAGCAGAGCTGGCATTCTGACCCAGCTCTCTCTGGATCTGAAGACACAGTTCTCAAATATCATCTTGAACATCGTAAATACATACAAATTTTATATTTTAATTTAAAAAAAATAAGCTCAGATGGGGTCAGGTTTTGCCAGCAAATTAATTATGGAGGGCTGGGTGCAGTGGTAGCTCAGGCATGTAATCCTAGCACTCTGGAGGCTGAGGTGGGAGGATCGCTTGAGGTCAGGAGTTCAAGACCAGCCTGGGCAACATAGCGAGATACCATCTCTAGGAAAAAAAAAAATTTGTCTCTAGGGGAAAAAAAAAAATTAGCCGGGCATGGATGGTGGCATGTGTCTGTAGTCCCAGCTACTTGGGAGGCTGAGGCAGGAGGATCCCTTGAGCCCAGGAGTTTGAGGCTGCAGTGAGCTATGATCTGGCCATGGCATTCCAGCCTACACATTTCCCTCTGTCTCAAATAAACACACACACACACACACACACACACACACAAAAACCCTCCAAACAAACAAACAAAAATTAATTATGGAGATAACTACCATTTTCCAGAGTTCTGGGGTGTTAGAACCGTGGGCATGGGCCTGAGGGTGCGTGTTGAATTATTCCTTCACAAGTGAAGAAGACTTCGGGGAATGCATCTGGAGTAAGTTGTCCCAAGGACAACTTGGACCAAAGTCATCCTTCTATCCCTCCTCGAAGCTCACAGTCCAGGTGGGGCTAAAGCCCAGGAAGGCACGACTCTCATCACAACCTCAGGCATCTGGGCTCTGCTGCTAGTCAAATGATGGAGAACTGTAGGTGGGGAAAGGCCGGGTTGGGGCCAGAGTGTGTCAAAGGGGCCCCGCTGTGACATCAGGGAGAGAAACGGTGAATTCATTGGGACTCTCACCCATTTTCCATGTACAGGGAGGAAGGTGCTCAGAAGCATTCAGGACAGGGATGGGGCTGGGGGCAAGGGGCTGCCTTTGTGTTGGGTGCAATTGACACGGACAGGGAAACTGAGGCCTGGGGGTGGAGGTGGAGAGGACCATGCAAGCCTGGGCTAGGGTCTGCAGGGTTTAGAAGAGCATTGACATCTTAGAAGAGATTGACATTGGTGCAATCTATCTTTTCTCCCTTCCCTTCTTCCCTTCTTCTCTTCCTCTTCCTCTTCCTCTTCCTCTTCCTCCTCCTCTCTCTCCTCCTCCTCCTCTCTCTCCTCTCCTCTCCTCTCCTCTCCTCCTCTCCTTCCTTCCTCTTCTTTCTCTCTTTTCTTTTCTTTCTTTGATGGGATCTCACTACCTTGCCCAGGATGGAGTGCAGCGGCTATTCACAGACATGATCATGACACGTCTATACAGCCTTGAACTCCTGGGCTCGAGTGATCCTCCTGCCTCAGCCTCCTAAGTCGCTGGGGCCGCAGGCACGTGCCAACGTGTCTGAGTTGATGCAGTCTTTTTGAGCAAAGACCCTTGTCCGAGTGAGGAAGCAGAAAATCAGGCAGCTTGTGGGTAGTTGAGAGCCTGGGGGGGGGGTCAGCAGACTGAATTTTTAGGTTTGGCTCTGCCACGTACTCACTTGGGACCTTGATTGAAGACTTTGCCCCCTTTGAGCCTCAGTTTCCCCATCTGTGAAATGGGGGATGATGATTACTAACAGCCACTCTGTAGGACTCCTAACTTCATTAAATGAGGAGATGCATGTCTCTTAGCTCAGTGCCTAGCACTAAGCAGGTGCTTAATAAATGCTACCACTTATGATTCTTATCCTCGTGACTATTCCTTCCAGAGCGATGGTGAGATTAGAGGAGGATTTGGGGTCGCAAGGGAGGCTGGAGTGAAGGAAGATGTCAGTGAATTGTTGCTAGCCTGGAGTCTCCAGAAATCCAAATCCAGCATTCAGAACAGAAGCCCCTGCCTCGAGGCCCTCATCTGACCTGAGGTCTTCAGAGTGCTTTACCTGCGTCCCAGGTAATCTAACTTTGGGGAAGGGGGAAGGGGAGTTAATGATTATCCAGACAGCATGGAAGAGTAAAGAGCCAGGAGTTCTGCTCCTCCAGGTCAAGACAGAGGCTTTGGGCAAGTTACTAAATCTCTCGGTTGACCTCCTTAAAAAATGGGAAGGCTACTCCCTCTCTCGCAGGACTGTGGGGCCTACGGGGTGAAGAGAGGCACGAGGAAGAAACAAGCACGGCGCTGCCACTCAAGAGACCTTGGAGTGAAGGAAGCGCGCGGGTCGCACCAGCGGCTGCCTTCATTACGTGTGAGCAATTGGAGTTTCTGAAGCTGCCCACTTGGCTCCAGAAGAGAGGGACTCCCAGACATTTTAAGCACCCCGGGCATGCCCGAACTTGCAGGTGCCACTTGGCATCCAAGAGGACCTTGATGGGAAGGCCAGCCCTACTCAGGGGAAATGCATTTGTGACATTTGTAACTTTATCTAGACCCAAGCAGATTTCTTCCCCAGCTCTGGGAGGGAAACAGGAATCCCTGGCTTGTGAGCTCCACACACGCCCTTTATCTCATCTGCTTGTCACAATAGTCTGGGAGATAGGCCAAGGAGATGCTAATGTCCCCACGATCCTGGAGAGGGATGGGCTGCTGGCTTCAAAGAAACTCCAGGTAAATCGAGGGATGGAGATGAGGGATTGAAACAACCTTGCAAGGAGGTAGGGCCCCAGGCTAAAGAGACGGACAGGTCTTGAGCATTGGTTCATTCAATAAGCAAGCAGGCATGTAGAGGGATGTGAGGATGGGGTTTTGTGGCTTCAGGCAGGTCTCCTAAGATGCAAAATGACAGGAGAAAAGTCAAACTCATCCAAGATAATTGGGAAGAAGGAAGAAAGCTACCCCTCCCAACTATGTGCCATAGCCTTAGGCTCTGTAGGGTAGGAAACCCATCTGGCTGGGCGTGGTGGCTTGCACCTGTAGTCCTGGCACTTTGGGAGGCAGAGGTGGGAGGATTGCTTGAGGCCAGGAGTTGGAAACCAGCCTGAGCGACACAGTGAGCGACACCCCCATCTCTATAAAAATTAGTCATGTGTGGTGGTGCACACCTGTAGTCCCAGCTACTCAGGAGGCTGAGGCAGGAGGGTCACTGGAGCATGGGAGTTTGAGGTTGCAGAGAGCTATGATGATGACACTGCACTCTAGCCCAGCTGCCAAGTGAGAGCTTGTCTCAAAACCAAAAATAAATCTCGCCCAACGGCCACTCAGTTCTTAAGATAAGAAAACAGGGATTGATTGGCTCTTTCTATCCCACAATGAATAGATTCCTCCTATTCCTATTTTAACTAATATTTCTCGCTTACTATGTGGTCTTACTGGGGCTCCCCCGACCTCTCTGACTCTCTGCTTCTATCTCTACCTACCTTGCCCTTGTACCTGGGGCTCCATCCCACCTTCTTTCCCTTTGAAAAGTCAAGTTCTCTCCCCTGTTCCCTGGGTTTGCTTGGGCGGTTCCCTAGGTTGGGAAGACCCCTTCCCACCCAGCTGCCATGTGTCTTTCATATTTGCACATCCACGGAAGCCTCCACTGACCACAAGAGAAATCCAGATTCCTCCTCCTGCCCCCATTCTGCACCCACTCCTTCTCCACTATGCAGTTTGTCACCTGTTGGAAACACACCTGTGGGACTCTTTCATTAATATTTGTGCACCATGCTAGACTTCAACCTCCATGTAAGTAGAGAACGTCTGTGTCTTGCCCATGACTGTATCCAAATATTGGCAGAAAGGCAGGGAAGTGCCCAGGCAAGAGAAAGGATGGGTGGGTACACAAGCAAAGAGGAAGAAAGAAGAGCCCAGAGAGGTGCTTGGTCTTCAAGATGCCCTAGGAAGACCCCTTGCCATGCCTCCTGTCCTAGTTACTTGATTCAAGGCTAAGGTGAAAGGCCAGACGCTGTCCAGGGCTCCCACGATGAAGCCAATATGTATTTCGTATGCCATGTGTTTATGTTTTTCCCTTTGAAGGCTGCCTGGGAAAGGCTAACAGTCGTGGAAGTAACAAACACATTGTCTTCTCTTCTCTTGCCAAAAGCAATCTTTAATCACTCTACCAAGTAATGGGCCCAGAATAGCATAATGGAAACAAAGTACTTAAAATACTTTCTTGGGTGGATAAACACAGCAGAGGAAAAAAAAAAAATCCTACACGCCCAGCCCATCCTTTTTACAATATACACAGCTAGGAGATGTGTAAGGAAGAGAAGACATCCCTCCCGAAGAAACAAGTAATTGTAAATAATCAGAACACACGTATCATAAAGGGTAGCATGGTGGTTTCTCCATTCTGAGGATGTCTTTGTATTTGTTGGGCCCCACCAACCCTTTTCTTAAAAATTGTGTCACCAAGTACCAAAAGTAGGTCTGATATATCCAACCAGTGGAAGGGAGTTTGCAAAGAGTCTTTGAGCAGGGTCTTTATTTTTCAAATCTCTTTAGATACGGAGCGTGGGCCGGGCTAGGTGCCTCACACCTGTAATCCTAGCACTCTGGGAGGCCAAGGCAGGTGGATCACTCGAGGTCAGGAGTTCAAGACCAGCCTGAGCAAGAGCGAGACCGTGTCTCTACTAAAAATAGAAAAAATTAGCCAGGCGTGGTGGTGCATGCCTGTAGTTCCAGCTACTTGGGAGGCCGGGGCAGGAGGATCACTTGAGCTCAGGAGTTTGAGGTTGTTGTGAGCTAGGCTGACGCCACGGCACTCTAGCCCGGGCAATAGAGTGAGACTTGGGCAAAAAAAAAAAAAACAGTTCTCAAAAAATAGATATGGGAACATGGGGGAAAGAAGGTGGGTGGTGCTGGTTGGAGGCCCTTACGGAGCTGAATGTTTAACTTGTGTTCAGAAGAGAAGACCCTTTGTTGATGCCTATGCTGGCTAAATACAAAACCACAAACAAAGTGACCAAAACTCTGGATTATAGAATTCAAGATGTAGCTTCCTAAGGGGACATCAAGTTCGGTGTTAGAGAAAACAGATGTTCAAGCCAGACAATAACAGACTTGAAATCACCATCTATCTCCTCCCGGGAGCCTTTCTGGATTTCTTTAGTTGGCATCCATCGCTCTGTACCACTGAGATGAACAAGACAAGAGCCAGGAGGCTTCTACAATTGAAAAACCATGTTATCTTGGTCAAGTTACTTATTTTCTCCGAACTTTAGTTTTCCCATCTCTAGTGCGCAGACAAAGATACCTCCATTGCAAGTATCACTGGGTATAGAAATATGTAGCCGTGGTCAGTTCCCCTCACTCAAAGCACTTAGCCCGCTTTGCCGTGAGAGTTGTCAGATTCAAAATGGAATCACTCATGTTAGGAAAACCCTGACAAATAGAGCCCCAGAAAAGGCCACGAAGAGAGGGTTCTTGGGCTCGTATGCCCGGTAGCAAAATCTATCACAAAAGACCGCAAAACCCACAACCTTGCACAAAGACTATCGCAACCTGACAATAAATAAATAAATAATTCGGCAAGGACATCGGCCCCCAAATTGCCTGTCCAGCCTCGGACTGGCGTCACCCTTTTTATTCATCTCCGTAGCCAAGGATAGCTATTTCAAAACAATTATGCAACCCTCCTCGTTTTTTCCTTTAAAAAACATCGTCTTCCTTTTTACCTTCCTGAATACGCACGGTTTACTACGGCATGTGTATTCCCATTGCAATGCTCTGTTCCCAAATAAATATCCCTTCTTGCAGGGAACCTCTCTCTTGTTTGTTGTTTAGGTCAACAACTGCCTAGAAGTCAGAATTATCCTAGTATGTTTCAGGGTGTCCTTGAGGTATGAGGAGCAGGGGAGGGGAAGTGGACATGGGACTAGCATCTTTTTCATGGGTTCTCGGGTCCTGGCTTTCGTATTAGACCCTTTAATACATGTCATCTCCTGTGTTTGTCGCAAGAATAGCATTTTTTTCAAGAGAAGTGCGATCATCTCTGCTGTAATTTTCTCTGATGGGGCAACTGAGGTTCAGAGTGTACAGGTAAGTTGGCCAAGATCACCAAAGTAGGTGGTTGAGCCCTGCCAGTTCAGGGAATGTGGTACACTCCTCACCTAAGGCCCAGTACAACGTGCTTGCCCCATTCGGTGCTTGACATATATATGTGACATCAATCAATCAAAGTGTCCCTTGCTTCTCCACTGCCCATTCATTTTCTGATCACCTATGAATAACTGTAAATGTTCTTGACATTTTTTTTTTCATATATTGAATCTGATAGTCAGATGTGGACTAGTTAAGCATAGAGAAAACTAGTATTTTTTGAGCACTTCTGTGACTCTTGCACTCTAGACATGCATGGTCCCAGATGAGAAGGGTGACATGTTCACTAAAAAAGTGCTTTTGTTAAGGTAAATAGATACGGCCTGTGTTTAAAGGGTGAACATGAGAAAGACCGTTTGACAAGGTGTTTAAGGTTGTCTTTGCAACCAAGAGGCAACCCCTTGTCAACAGGGGCCCACAAATGGAAGAGCTGGTCAAGTTGGAAGCCTGGTAATACTGGTCAGCCCACTGGACCTTTGCAGACTGGGGACAGGGGACACCAGGTGTCACAGGAAGTTTGATGATTGGGAGTCTCGCGCACCCAAATCTACTGGCACCTGTCTGCAGTTAGGGCATGCTGGCGAGACCTGACACATTCATCTCCTTCCAGAAGAAGAGACCCTCCCTGCCCTGTGGCAAGGTGGGAACATTCTGGGATTTGGAGCCAAAAGAACTGGGTTGGACACTCCCAGCCCTGATATTTGCTTTTCATTTTTGTTTTGTTTTGTTTTGTTTTTTGAAACAAGTTCTCATTCTGTCATCCAGGCTGGAGTGCAGGGGCATGATCAGACCTCATAGCAGCCTCTCAAAATTCTGGGTGCAAGTGATCCTTCTGCCTCAGCCTCCAGAGTAGATGAGA